AATATTGCCAACTTTATTTTTGTTTTTGATACGTTGAAATAAATATATTTTTTATAATAAATCTATTCAATAATTTAGTAAATTGATACTTCTCGTTGGCAAGGCCATTTCGCAATTTCATAATAATAAAATAAAATTCTTAAGATGAAAGTGTAATTCATACATCTTAAAACTTAAAAGACTTCTACTCATCTCTAGAACACAAAGATCGAGAGTTGAGAGAGAAAGTGTAGAAAAGACTCTGGGGGACGACGCGCGGGGGACGCGCCAAAGCAGAAAGAGTAAGCCAGAGCTGGCCAGAGAATTCGTCATCGTGGCATGTTCGCCGTTCACCTTTTTCGTCGTGTATCTTCGTCGTCATTCGTCATTGCCGCAGAGCAGAGTCGGCGTCACGCCACCCTGCATGCAAGTCTCTGCGAATCAAATTTATACACTAGCAAGTCTACGAAAAATAAGTATTTTATTGTATTGTTTGCAAAAAAAAAAAAAAAAAAAATCGTAGTTATCCCGAAGAGCTAAAATGTGACGCAAATTGAAATTTCGAAAATTTGTTTACTCTTCACATTATAGTTTATTGCAGCACGGGAAGATCGAAAATGAAATAGTAGTTTTGGTCACAGAAGTGTGGCATCGCCTCTGGGGCTGAGAGACCTTGAAAAACTCCCGAGGTAGGAGATGACACAAGTGCCATCCATTTGGGGCTACCTTACGGTCCCTCGGGCCGCAAAGTAGCCCTGGAGGTAATATGGCACTTCTGTGACGAAAACTACTGGAAAAAGAGATTACTAATAAGACATATGTTGCGAGATGAATTGTGTGATTATTGAATGTGAAAGTTAGTTATAAAAAAATGAATACTAAAAAATGGTAATTATCCGTCGCAGAAGCTATCGCTCACGGGGCCATTTTGCGACCCAAGGGACCGTAGGTTATCCATCGATTTTTACGATCACAACGATTTTTGTCACTTGGCATGTATGTATTATATTTTAATAAAAAAAAANTCGTCATTGCCGCAGAGCAGAGTCGGCGTCACGCCACCCTGCATGCAAGTCTCTGCGAATCAAATTTATACACTAGCAAGTCTACGAAAAATAAGTATTTTATTGTATTGTTTGCAAAAAAAAAAAAAAAAAAAAAACTCTACTTTCATCCAAACAATATTATTTTTAGTGAAATTTCTCGTATGTAATAATACGCTCACGAGTGGGAATAACGTATACCACACGTTCGCCGACGACCACGCGAGAGAGCTATATGTTAGTTTGGGGAATGGCAAAACGAGAGGTCGGGAGACTTGGGAGTAAGTACTAAGTACCTACGCCGTATACGCCGTACAGTAGAGTATGAGGTATACATGGATGTATATATGCACATATATACTATATAATATGTTGTGTGCGATAACAACTACCAACGTTATAAGTTATAAGTAATGCCGATCCGCACGCGATGTGTGTATTATAATATATTTTTGTGAGGCTCGTCTGCTACGTCGTCTGGTTTGAAAATGCGGCGGCACGGCCTTCGAATCACGCCACCCGGTGCTCGGCGAATAGGAGAGGAGACAGTGTACCTCAATACATTTACTTTTATTTGCGCGTTTGAACGGCTATCTCCGACGTTTGACCGGTATCTTTAATAGGGTACCTGCATACTTGAGGATCTTTATTTTACCTCAAAATGAATGAACTGGCAGCCGGCGGGGGTCCCCCATTTTTTTTCCTTCAAACGCGAGTGTGTTTACCTTTTGACAATTTGTATATCTATATATAACTGTATCATCTCAAAGATAACGAATATGACAATCGCATGGTTCGATTTGCCGATTTTTCGCACTACTGTCTCTTGACAATGGTACTTTTATTACTTTTATTACTATAATACACAGAGTTTAAGGAAAAAAAGTAAATTATTCATAATATATTATATAGAAGAGAAAACTATCATTTCACCATAATGTTATGAGTATATACCAGTGAATCATGAGCAGTTGCCTATAACATATAATAATAATTATTCATCGTTTGAAAAACAATCCGTGCTTTATTTACATATACATACACGATTTATTACATCCATGTGTATGTGTAGACATATGTCAAAATAAAATGAATCAGTGGTCATTAGTTGTCATTGACTTTCTTCACAACGAGTTTTACAGTTTGGGTACGTTACAATGGTTATAGTCATTGTACTTGGCTTTGGAATGGCAATAACGAGTTATAGGGAAAGTAATTCAAAATTGAATGTCGATGGGAAGTCGGTTAATCGGTGACTAAAAGTATCACAGAGAGAGGAGAGAGAGAGAGAGAGAGACTAATTGTGAGAAGCTGAGTTGAATGGAAAAATAAAAGAAAAAAAGGAATGTCCGGAGGAACGAAACTTTCCTCCTTTATTTATATTTACGCGTGCAACTTATCGCACAGGTAAAAACGAAGAAGCCACTCGTGTCCAAATGCGTAATTTTCTGTCGTGCATCAGCAACATAACACAAGCACACGCTAATAGCTCGAAAGAGAAATAATTGGTTTACGTAAATTTCGATTGAAGGGTATACGGGTGCACTTGTGTGTGTGTGTGTTTATCGCGTAAGTGCGCGGGTAAATGCAGGTATATATGATCGGCACTTAAAAATACGCCACGAGGTGATAAAGCGCTTTTCAAACAATTTTGTACGCGAGCACGTGTGCGTGTGTGTTTGCAAGTGACCAACCGAGACGATACTTTTTTTTTATCTTCAGGATAAGAGCGACATGTTGTGACGCGTGTTTGATGGGGAAAACATTCGATTCGCATATATACATATGTTTATAAAAAAAAAAAAAGTTACGTAACGATATGCCAATTGAAAATTCGATTAGTCATTGAGTTAATAACTAACTGCATGGCGTGAGCTGTTTTTTTTTTTTTTTTTTAGAATTTTTTTCATACAGATGTTTTTCGCGCGAGAAAATTCGTAGTTGGAACTCATATACGATCGAAGGAAACAACAGTCCGCAATTTGGTAAAAGTGATAAGATCGACGTATTGATTATTGGAATAGCTTAATTGCCATTGATCGTGACAATGCCACTGCAGTGGAAATGACTTGATAGTCTCGTGGGTGTAAAAATTTTAATTCCCAAGCGATAAATCGGGAAGAAAAACAATTATTGATATAAACTATCGTACGATTTTGGAAATTTGGAATCAGAAATATTATTTTCTCGTTGGAATGATGTACAAGTAAAATGTATATGAATTACAATACTGGATTTACTTTATGGGATCTCGTTAAGTAGAAATATCGTTACAATCGAAAAAAAATGCAGTAAACTAAATGATGCTATTGTCTCACTCTTTGTTGATATATACAGAATGCGGGTCGATGTACGTGTTCAGTTAAATTTACACGCTATAATTCTCTATTGCGAATCAAATATATTTATCTGTAGAATATATACGACGCCACAGCGATTTCAGCAAAAATTAACGGCAATTCAAAGTTAATCGTATATATGCACCCGTTGGCAATATACACAAATGAAAATTATGTTTTATCAAGTAATATAAACTGTGGGCACACCTATCGAGTATCTTTTACGTTAAAAAAAATAAAAATTCATTTCCATCAAAAAGAATTCTTCTTTTTTTTTTTTTTGTATTTAAAAATGTTTTTCTTACACCTTTGAAAGCACGGAAATTAAGTGTCTTCTATTATAATGAAACATTAACACAAAGGTAGATAAAAAAAAAAAAAAAGTACGAACAAGATACACTTCCACGAACATGTGTTGCAATCGCGAAACGACGCTATACTTATCCGCGACAATGACGTATTTTCTGAAAACATGCATGTATTATCAGTATTTTCATGATTATAGTTAAACTAAAGGGGTAAATTATTTGTACGATGCGCCAACTTTGTTTTGCACAGATTATAACCTGACATAAGTACGACAAACATTAAACAATGATTACGTACAAAAAGAAATCGACTCTGACGTATAATTCATGACCGGTAAAGTGGAGTCCTAAGTATCGGCAAAAATATAGACCCAACAACGTCCAGCTACTCCCTGCGTCATCCCGTATATAGCAAACAATATTGTACATTTACGACTCCCCGGAGAAAGTCAACGTCACATGTCCAGTATATCAATCGATGACGAGTTGATCTCGCGGTTGTACCTTCTATGCATCGTGCGACGCGATTGCGAAATCGACG